ACCCCTCTGACGGTCAGAAACCTTCGTCTAATTTCAAGCCTGAACTTCCCCACTCAAGCCTGTTCTCTTACCCAGGCTGAGAGGAGTCATGGCAGCTTAACTTCGGCACATGAAAGGAAATGCAGAATAAACGCAGTTATCCAACACTGAAATTCAGACCCAGAATGACCAGCATCTCCTCACTACACTCTGGGTCTCATGGGCAATTGGTTGCAAAGCCTCTTCAAAGCTTGACACAGCTAGCTTCCCCCACCCCTTCCTCAAACCCTTTGGCTACTGTACATGGATTTGTAGTTATGAAGCTGTACACAGCTAGAAAAAGTTCCTGTCAGTATGTCTCATTTCCAGCATGAAGTCAGAGTGTCTCACATGCCAGCTACATGCTTAGAAGCACAAATGCACTCAGTCAGTTTAGAACCTTTTCTCTCTTATCTTACAGGTGAGCATTCATATACAAGCCAACAAAATGTGCTATTGTTAGTGTGTCCGTGAAATCACTCTGGCTGAAACATAGGTTAAAGTACTGATCACAAAGAACAGATGAGACCAAGGTGCCTATGTCACATATTTTAAAAAGAACAGGAGGACTTGTGGCACCTTAGAGACTAACACATTTATTTGAGCATAAGCTTTCGTGGGCTACAGCCCACACGGCTGCTACTCTGAAACATATTTTTAAATCATTCACTTCTTATATTTCAATGGTCAGGGATCTATTTTCTGTAGTTGTAGGACAAACAACAATGAAATTGTCCTATAACATATTTCACTCTAAATATGAGCACATGTTTTCAGGCCTAAGTCCAGTCACAAATGCCCAGACACGCTACATATACAGGGCAAATCCTAAGATGCTAGGAAGGATTTTAAATAGGCAGTAAAGTCCTTCTGTAGTTTAGATCTATGGAACAACCTGACCACTCAGAACATAGGATTTTAAGGGAAGCAAACAAGTCAGCAATTCCCTACCATCCATGTCTTCTTGTCCCAGATAAGAGCACCAGCGGTTCCTCATGACCTCAATGGCATCCAGGTCGTCCTTGGAGATGTCATTATTGATAATGAGGTGCATACAGGGGATGATCAGCTCATTCAGGATGTTAATGCCCTCCAACACATCTGCCTCCGCACGGCTTACAAACAAAGCCGCTGCCATGTCATTCAGCTTCTGTGGGAGAATCAGGGGTCACAGACATTTGAAAAAGCCCTGACTTCAGAGCATGAACAGGCTACTGGGAAAGCGGCACACGACCCACGACTCTTCCAGCTGATGGGAATGTATGGAATGCACACGGACTAATGGGAGCTGATGTGTGCACCAAGAGAATGTAACCCTTAGGACAGTGGTCCCCAAATTTTTGTGGTCATCCCCCTCCCCACTTGAGTAGAGGTTGGAAGAGGGCCTGGTGCCGGGGCCATGGTCAGGAGCGGAGCCGCAGCTGGGGCCACAGCCAAGATCGAGGCCATCGCTAGGTCCACAGAGCCACAGAAAGTGCTGCAGCTGGGGGCGGGGCTGGAATGGAATGGAATGGGGGCAGAGCAGGGCTGGGTGGCGCTTCCTCCCCACCCCTTGTGGGGACTGGCCCAGACCCTGCCACACTCTTCCCCCTCCTCCTCCCCCCCGAATGTGGACACACCCCACGGTTTGGGGACCACCGCCTTAGAAGGATTAGATCAGAGAGAACATATTGCTCCAGAATTAACTCTAAAGTATACAAATAATTTTGGCTTTGAGACGCTAAGATTCAGATCCAGAAACACCAAATGGATTCCCTGAGATCCAAACTCCATCACTTCAGTGAATTTTGCTTCCTAGATTTTCATATTAGTGATGGTTCTCGGGAAGGGGTAGATGCCATGATAACAGGTGCTTTAGATATCATTACGCTGCCCTCAGCAGCCATAATGAAGCAGGCACTAAAAATAAGTCTCAGGCTGCTGCTTATTCCTTTCCCAAGGAAAGCCACGTTACCTAGTGCCCGGCAAAAGACTCCCACTGGTGACACAGGAAGAAGCAACGCTGGCTCCCCACAGGGAGGGAAGAGGCGATATTGCTCTTGGTGAAAAGCAAATGGCTGGCATCCACCCCCTCCCTGAAAGACTGTTTTAATGACAGGCTCTTGTACCCTGTCTGTAAGGAGGTGCATGATACACTTGTCTCTTTGGGCAACCTGGAGTGAAGAGACAATGTGCAGATGTGAGCTGAAATCACTGAGCTAGAAGGGGGGAGTATTTAAGGCTGACCAGTCTACCACTGAGATTGTTCACTTTCAGTTTAAGACTCAGTAAGATACAAACCAAGAGGCATTTTCTTCTGTATAAAGCAATCAGTGATTCATCCACCCCTCGGTTGGGTCCTTTCATGAGCAGGGAGGTGTTACTTTGGTAGGCATACACCAGGTAGGTCAGTGCTTCCTGGTACCTTGGAGAAGGAGAAGGGTGTTAGTAGTTCATCACACCAGGTGCCACATAGTCCAAAAGCTGCAGTCAAGCTGTCCACCCAGGCCAGACTCTCCACTTCTTCCCCAACAGAGACAAACACGTCACCTTCTTAACGGTGTTATTTTCTCCCTTCTCTCTTTTTCATTCAGCAAACCTCTCAAGAGCAGCCCCCATACTAGGCAGGTTAGCTTTCCGTATGCCTCAGGGACGCTTTGGCTTTCTGGTTTCAACCCCAATATTTAGACTCTGGTCTAGAATTCCTCTGGTTTCAGTGGGAACTTGGGAGATGAAAGACACTATTAGAAGTTTGGAGAACAGTATTTTTCTTTAGAGACTCCACGGTTGTATTTAGAGCTGGTCGAAAAAATTCTGATGAAACATGTTTTCATCCGAACTCGCCAGTTATCTAATTCTAAACGTTTTTTGAGACTGTTCGATTTAAACCAAACTCCGACAGAGAACCCCCTGACCTGCCTGATTTCCTCCCAACTTACCCACCTACTGGACTACCTGAGAGCAGGACCGGCTCCAGGGTTTTTGCCGCCCCAAGCGGCGGGAAAAAAAAAAAGCCACGATCGCAATTGTGACCTGCGGCACTCCGGTGGCAGCTCCACTGTACTGCTTTCTTCTTCAGCAGGAATTCAGCGGCAGGTGCTTCCCTTCGAGAGGGACCCACCGCCGAATTGCCGCCGAACAGCCCGACGTGCGCCCCTTCCCCTTGGCCGCCCCAAGCATCTGTTTGCTGGACTGGTGCCTGGAGCCGGCCCTGCCTGAGAGTCGGGGACCCCAGGGTTTCCGTGGCGCCAGGACAGCCTGCCGAGCAAGCTCTCTCAGAGCTAGGGCTTGAGAATTCCAAAACTTTTAGTTTACATTCCGAACTGGAACAAACCACATTCTGAAATACTGAACTCCTCTTTGAAAAGGAATGATCTTTCTCCATACAGCTGTCTATACAGTATACTGCTTGCAGTATGGGGGGAAAAGCCCAGCTTTTCAGTTCAAAGTTCCAGGGAGCTCTGTTTCTATGTAGGAGTCAAATTGTTTTCAAACACAATGAGAGTTTCATTTTCACCCAACTTTCCCGAGAGCCAAGTAAAGGCAGTTAGTGCGCTAAATCCTCTCTAAGGACCAGAATGCAAAGTTCCGCTCGTGGAAAACAAGCTGGGAACTGTGTAAGAGGCCATATCACAAATCCACTTATTAACTCAGCACAATAGTTACACTCTGGCTCAAGGTCAGCTCTGAGCCTGTACAGCAAGGAGTACTGGCAGGTCAGGAATCAAGTACTTTGGGAAAAGCACAAGGGCCCCCAAATTGCAATACATAGGGTGCTACATGTCAGGAGCAAGGGGTGCTAGCAGAGAAGCAGGCGCTTTTAGGTATCAGTTACCCCATAGCTTCAGCCAAAATGTAAATATAATTAAATTAAACCTACTTTCTATTCTGGTAGAGTTCCAACCCTGTCAGCAGGTAAACAGACACCTTGCGAAATAAACTGTAGTCTTCATGCCATTTCTGTTTAGGGTAACAGGGAATATTACAGGTTAGTCAATAACATGCTTTCATGTACCCGTACGTCTGGGACAAGTCCCCCACCCCCAGCAAAACCTGGTATGCTAGCTCATTCAGCCTCTGGCACGGAGAGCTCTTACATGGGACATGAGCTCACTCGAACTGGGGGCAAGTTCTCAACATCCCCTTTGCTTCCCCATACAGCTCAAGAACACATTCACCAAGACAGAGGAGTCTCTGGCAATGTTTAACTCCAAACTGGGAGCACCGAATGAGTCCTCTAGAACAAGTGTGAAAACACAAACAGCTGATGATCTGTTGGGAGGTGCGGGGGAAGAGGTTAGCTACACAGCTCTCATTCTGATCCTATAGACTGACTGTTCCAGGAGCAAGTTAAAGATCCCACAGCACCTTTCAAAAGGGATAGGGCTAAACTGAAACCCCTGTGTCCTAGTCAGAACGCCTCAGGAAACTGCTCCTAATGCTTCTAACTATATAACATTACCAATGGGTATGTAATAGTTGCTGTGTTTGTTTGCACAGTCAATGCACTGCCACTATCTTGCTCACTGCTTTGGGACACCTCCAGCACTAAGGCATTAGAGAAAAGGAAAAAGTTCGAGTCCCTTACCTTATACTCCTCCATATTCACATCATCAGGGCCAATCTCCTTCAGCTTAGCTCGTGCTACTTGCATAATGCTAATTGACCTGCTCAGTGCAACAGAGAGAGACATTAGAGAATGGCGAAGCTACAGAATCCCAAATCAGAAAGTCATGATAGTGGATCCCCTGGCACAAACCTTTCATCGTAGCTGAGGTTTCTATCTGCAAACTGCTCCAGGAGGGTCCGCTCCACTACCTGCTTGGGAGCATTGTTCTGCAAGAAGTAGATGAGCACGTGTTGCAGCCGGGGGTCATTGTGAGGGGTTGGGGTCTCTTTGGCCAGCAGATACAGTCTGGAGTACTCTTCATGGAATGCCTATCAAAGTCAAGCAAATGCTAAATGCCTATTCTTTATTAGTGCTGCACACTGAATTTGAAACCTGCAGTGGAAAGGTTGATTACAAGGCTATAACTGTCCTGTAACTTGACAGGATTCGGTGCAGAGATGTCTAACTGCTACTTACATTAGCTGGCAATTGCTTAGGGCATCTTCCATTAGTTTTAGGCCAGAAGGGACCATGAGATTGTCTAGTGTGACCTCCTGTATGTGATATGCCATTATATATCCTCTGGATAACCCTATGCTGAGCCCAGTAACTTCAGTTAACTACAAGAGACTACACTGTTGTGTGCTACAGGCAGAGAACAGGAGAGACCGAGGTGCCACCAATGCCCAAGGCCCCTCTGATGGCAGGGAACTGACTAGGTGAGATAGGCTCAGAAGATACCAGCAGGCAAACCACACCCCATAACGCAATAAAAAGCGAAAAATCCCCAAAGGTCCCTGCCAGGCTGGCTGGGGTCAGAAATGAAATTTCCCCCCAAAAAAGGTGATCAGTATGACCCTGAGCATGTGAGCAAGACACACTAGCCAGGTTTCTTAGAGGATTTTCTATACCAAGTCATAGCACATCTCCACCCAAACAATATACCATCTCCACTTTATAAAGATGGCCGAATCATATCAATCTATGCCTTAAGCAAAAACATCACCTTTAAAAAGAGAACCCAAGGGAGGTAGGCACTGGCTCCACTGACTTTCAATGGAGTTGGGTGCCTAACTCTCTTAGGCATTTTTGAAGATCCCAGTCCAAGTGCTCATTTTAAGGAACTCTTTAGAGACATCTCAAACCTTTGTTACAATGTGAGAGGAACAAGAATGCAGCTGGCAAAATGTTACTCTGACCAATAATACATGATAGTCAGTAAACCAAAAGCCCCGTCCGATGTTCGTTCTCAATTGCAATTACAGGAAGTCACCGGTGTGATTTAGGACTACCGGAAGCCAATTGGATGGTAGAATGAGTGAATTTTCCTAAGCCCTCTTTTTATTTAACTTCAGTTGTTTGTTTCTCTACAATATCTAGCCCAAACTAGCAATGACCCGCTCTCTGTTCAGGAATATTTACAATATTTACCTTTTTCTAGTCCCTCTTCCCATTGCATAAGCTTAGGAGGACATATTTTACAGAAATTCCTACAGTAAGTGTGTACATTTATGGCCCAAATTTAATTACACACCACATATGGCCTGGTTATGATTAAAATTTAATTTTTATTTTCTGGTAATAATTATATTGAGCACTTATACAGTACCTTCCATTCAAGGGCTCCAAAGTGCTTTTCAGACATAATTAAACCTCACAAGCTCCTGTGAGATAGGTATGGGAAGTATCATTTTTGCACTTGGGGAGAGAGAGAAGTGGAGTGATTTGGCCAAGGTCCCGCAGCAAGTCATGATCAGAGTTGAGATAAGAACTCAGGTCTCTTAACTCTCAAACTGTTGCTTTAAACAGACTATGGCAAATGCACTTGCTTGACTTTACTCAAGGGATGCATTGACTAATGTGACTAAAGATAAAAACATGCATAGGTGTTTGCAGGATTTGGACTTACACTACCTTCCTAACATGCCCACCCACACCTCCATTTTCGTTAGATATAAACATTGAGGGGTTGTTCACTTAAATGGACAATATTAGGTCTAATCTGGCCCAAAATGCAGGCTTGGGAAGGGGGCAACAACAGACTTTCCCAAACCTAGGACTACTAGAAATATTTCTATATTATTTGCCTTAGATTCCAACGTTTGTATGTGTGCATACGTTTTAAACAAAAACATTGTGTGCAACCTAAACAGTGCAATTTTGTGCTCAAGCATGAGACGTGAAAGGCAAATCAGAGTTTTGAAAATCTTTCCGTTCTTGCAGTCTAAGGGGCTATCTGTAACACAAGAAAGGATGCTTATAAAATGTAATGGGTTTAGCCTGACAATCTTTCTTTAATAGAGTCCTCTTAGTACAAGTAATGGAGTGGATAAACGGAAACGTGGAATAGAAAAAAAAAACTTAGCTGAAAAGGAACTGCACAGGAAGAGAGAGAAGTGGCCAACTCACATCTGTAACATGTTGAAATAGCACACATTTTTCACTGAAGACGTCAGACTTGTGTATTAAGAGATTTTTAAAAAGGAAAATAAAAGGGTACCTTAACAAGCCCTGCTTCAGACCCATCCCGGTCAAATGTCTGACGGGCTTTAGCAATAGCCAGGATCACACCCTGCATGGCTGGGCTAAGCATCACCTACCACAAGAACAACAAAAAACCCACACACAAAAACAGAGAGGAATAGAAGAAAAGCTGTAGATATACAAGAAAAAAGTACAAAAAAGGTAAAGTTTTAAAGAAAAGTTGTCCAGATCTGAATGGAGATGGGACAACCCAGAGCTGCCATTTGACTACAAATTTAAGTTTATTGTCATTATGTGCAAGTCCAACTCTTGCATGCACGGCCCATGCTGCTATAGATGTTTGAACCCTTCGCTGTGCCACCCCAACTACTCCTCCTGCACTCTCTTCCCCCCAAAGTCATCAGTAAGTGAAAATACAGAGCACACGGAACATAACTGGGGAGAACCTTGCAAAACTACCATTTAACATGAGAGCAATGCCTGAGGCAGAGCATTCCACTGTCCTGCCATTACAACACAAGTGTATATTTAATGCAATCAGGTCACATCCAGCTCAACAGATGGAGCTATTGCATTGATAAAATCCTTGAGACAAAACATAAATACTGCTTTATGCAAAGGACAATGCTAAACCCACACCAAACCCTAAAAATGCCCCTGGAAACTAATTGTCTGAACACATTCATTCTCTTGCAGACAGAATTGTGTAGCTGATGTGCAACTATACTTAGAAAAAAGACTATGAACATTTTTAAGGTGTCTGATGTGGTATACTGAGCCTCATAATGGGGCTCTTTCAATTGCCAGCATCAAATACAGGACCTGTGACTGGAAAAGTCACATGGCATTGACTGTATGACATTGTCAGCTGACAATTATGATGCTTATGCGAAAAGCAGAATCAAAGCCATTGACTACTGGGTGAAAAAAAAAAGTACAAAAACCTCCTTGTGAAGCCAGGCGCCCTAGAAACACCTTAGATATGAGTGACAGGAAGGAAAGGAAGGAGAGGAAGAGGACTTAAAAAAGAAGATGAGTGTGTGTTTTTACAGAGTCACTTTTCAGACAACTTTTCAAATAGTTTTAAAAAGTAAATTGCTAAACGATTGGATCCAACCTCTTTGCTTACTACAGAGGGAAAAATATACTTGAACTACACAGTTTCATGTCAAAACCACTACTCACCACAAATCTTCAGAAAGCCCCAAAGCAACCCACAATTGCAAAGATTAATGCCAGAAAAATAGCTAGCTCCTGCACTGGGCTCTGTACCTCCTCATTATATCCATCTGCATCAGATCTAACCAGAATCTTCCCCACTCTGGGGATCTCCACTTCAGAGACCTGTGAGCTAGGCTGGGCAGCAGACTCTGTCCCTTTAGCATCTGGTTGCTGTTCTGACTGAACTGTAAGGGCTGTTTCTCTCAGCTGGGTCTTCGTTGGTTCTGCCTCCTTTGGCTGTGGCAGCAGAAAGAGGAGAAAGAGAATAAGAAACAAAGAGAAAACCAAAACCAAAGAGGAAAGTAGAAAGGGATTGGGTTAAATGCAGCAGTGCTGCAGAATTATAAGCAAGTGAGAGAGAAAGAGGTTTGTTAACACAGAGATGCAAAAACAGCGGGCTGCTTCAGGGGCCACGTTCCAGAGTTCTCACCTCACACAGAGCAGCCTCTACACCATTCTTCTCATAGGCATCAGCTGTATTTGCAATGGCCTGGGCAGTCTGGTCCTTTGCAATCCTGGCATGTTCGGAGGACAGCGAGCGTATGCTGTGTTCACAGCCTGAGGACTGGTCTGATTGGAAATTCAGAGAGATGTTAACATTCAGTAATGGCACCAGGAAGGTACAAATCCAAATGGAAGACAGGAAAATGGTAAATAGGATGGCTGCATGGTACTTTACCTTAGTATTTACCAGGCACAGTGACCAACGTCCTTCCCATGCAATTCCACCTTCTATAACATTGTCACTGGTTGCAGCCTCCTTTGTTACGGAAGCGCCAGCTCAGTTTTCCTCACACACAACTCAACTCTTGGGTAACATTCCAGAAAAGTCAACATTTCAAATGGCAGGTCATTCACTGTAAACTCTATTAAGGTGCATCTACACTACAGCTGCAAACAAGCTTCCCAGCCCAGGGAGACAGATTCGGGCTAGCAAACTAAAAATAGCAGTGTGGATGTTGTGGCTCGGACAGCAGTTTAGGCTCTCAAGTTTACCTGACCCCCTGAGCTTGGGTGGCTAGCGCAAATCTCCGCCAGAGCTGTAACATCTGCCCTGCAATTTTTAGTACACTAGCTCGCACTCCATTAGCATGAATCTGCCTACCTGGGCTGGAAGGTTTGCTCCCAGCTGCAGTGTAGACGTACCCTAAAAGACCCGATCGCGCAAAGCACTTCATCACACAAGTAGTCAAATTGAAATCAATGGCACTACTCATGTTTAAAGTTAAACACATGCTTAAGTGGCGTGGGCTGAGGGATGTGCCAAGTGGTTTGAGCATTGGCCTGTTAAATCCAGGGTTGTGAGTTCAATCCTTGAGGGGGCCACTTAGGGATCTGGGGCAAAATCAGTACTTGGTCCTGCTAGTGAAGGCAGGGGGCTGGACTCGATGACCTTTCAAGGTCCCTTCCAGTTCTAGGAGATGGGATATCTCCATTACATTTTTCTGCCATGCGGGCAGGGGACTGGACTCGGTGACCTCTCGAGGTCCCTTCCAGTCCTAGAATCTATGAATCTATGAATTAAGTGCTCTAGCAGATTAGGACCTAAGGTTTTTGTACACAGCTCAACAGACCCTGAGCTCAAGGGCCAGTATGTCACACATTCTGCTGGTCAGAAAAATAATTTTGTGGCCTCAGAGGACAGAATTTTGGACTATACATGGCAGAAAACCTTATTTGAGGAGAGATTTCTGTATCATTTGGTAAACGGTGATGCACAACCCTAGTTTTACATCACATTTGATTCTGGAGTTTGAAATTTAATTCCCCAAGGAGACGAATTAATTAACTAACTATCTCCCTGCACTTTCAAGAGGTTCTTCCTCACCTCCTGTCCTAAAACATGAAACGCTGCTGTGTACCATTAAACAGCATGACTGCACTTCAATGGCAATATTACACACAACCACATTTGTGAATCTCAACGAGACTCACACGAAAAAGGACTGCTGTAATGAGTGGTCTCCCACTCAAGAGGTGAACACGTCAATGTTCTACAATAAACACACAAAATATTAATATAATTAAATCAAATTGAGATTAGATCATTGCCAGGCACTGACTGTAAAACAGGATATGATCAAACTTGATGGCATGTCTTTAGCTATGCATGATCGAACATTAGCTTTTTCCTGCTGATATGATGGGAATTCAGCAACTGAGTTTAGTTGGTAGCTTTCCCCAAGCGTTCAAAATTGTTATGAAAAGCTCCGATAATGGTGAAATTTATTGCAGGGAAGTTATTGTAGAGACACGGAACGTGATCTGATAACACACTGATCTTGTGTTACCTTGTCCTGATTCAGAAGTGAAATCCTGAGATTCAGAAGTAGCTGAAGGCTCTATCTGAGGGATCTTGCAGGACTGCTCCTGTTCCCATTCCTCCACCTCCTGTTCAAGCCTCCAGTTGTCTTCTTGTATATAATTCTGGAGTTCAGGTGGCAGAAGTTCTACTTCTTTCTGAAACTGTCCCGTTTCTGCATCAGCAGCAGCATCTGCAGAAAAGCAAGATTTTTTGTTAGCAATGAAACACGCAGCAGCAAGATAATACTGCCGCAAACGAGGAATATCTAGAAACGTTAAGGAAGACTGATCAAATGGATTGGAAAAATAAAGAAGGAAACGAATATTTTTTCCTGGAATTTGAATTCAGGATGCTCCATAAACAAGTACAAGAAGATGGTAGATGGTCAGCTCTTTGGGCAAGGGGCCGTCTTTTTGTTCTGTGTTTATACAGAACCTAGCACAATGGGGTCCTAGTCCATGACTAGTGCTCCTATGCACTATAGTAATCCAAACAATAACTAACCATAGAAAGGTACATTTCTGCATGGCGCACCTGGGCTGGGTAAACCCTCTTGAAGTAACGACCAGGGCTGAGAGAGGGCATAGATTTCTCTTTACCAAAGGCTACCATAATGCTACAGATGGGGCTTAAAATGACAATAACCAGAAAACTTGGAGTTCAGCTTAAAACTCCACACTTCAACCACTACATGAAACTGAGGGGTACAAAACTGCAAGGATTCCAGGTAGTGAGTGATTTTATACAGGTACTGAAATATCTAGGCATAATGGGACACTGGTTAATAATGGTATTTCAGCTCTATAGTACCACTTAAGAAAAAATATAATGAGGAGTGTATCTAATACCGAATGATAATGCCCTATCCCAGATTCTTTCCTTTATAAAAATACTTAAAAGTACAAGGGTCTTTAAAAGCACTAAATGTATATGAAGTCTCATTAAAAGCATAGGATGGGTTCAGTTTAGAAACTGAAAAGTCAGAGCACTAGGAAGACAAACAAGAACTTGTTTCAGCTTCCTCATTCCCATTAGCTAGATTCTGCAATGACTATTGCTGTATTGTTTGCTTTTATTATATCAAAATGAGCCATGTACGAAATTATTAGGCTCTTCTAGATGGCCAACAGCTGTACGATGCAAGTAGCTGCTTACACGCTCATGCATTGTAAACACACAATTACAAGGATCAGTTATCATTAGGGATAATTCATCTCAGGCACAGAAGGGACGATACGCTGCATAAGCAACATGCACTGGGTGTGCTGTGTATATTATGCTACCACTATCTATCAGAAGCCAAAACAAAGAGCAGGGTGTGTAAATGGCCAGGCCAAAGTAGGAAACATTCTGTTTGATCTTATAAAGGATTTGCCGACTGCACACGGACACAATGAGAATGCCAGAATACAGGCCAACTGAAATACAAAGACAAATGCAGGACTGGACATTTATATGGACAAGAAGAATAGTTACAGTTAATGCTAAGGGTAGGTCTACACTTACCTCTGGGTCCGGCGGTAAGCAATCGATCTATCGCATCTTGTCTAGACGTGATAAATCGATCCCGGAAGTGCTCGCCGTCGACGCCGGTACTCCAGCTCGGCGAGAGGAGTACGCGGCATCGACGGGGGAGCCTGCCTGCCGCGTCTGGACCCGCGGTAAGTTCGAACTAAGGTACTTCGAATTCAGCTACGTTAATAACGTAGCTGAATTTGCGTACCTTAGTTCGAAATGGGGGGTTAGTATGGACCAGGCCTAAGAAAAACCCTGAAGCATGAGGTTAAGACAATCTCCAACAATTAGGGATTAGGACATCCTCAATTTAATGGGGGACAGATTAGCCCACATATGCCTGCTGCAAGGTTTCTTTCACCTTCCTCTGAAGCACCTGGTCTGGCGACTGTCAGCAAGACAAGGATACTAGGATAGATGGACAAGGGGGCTGACCCAGTATGGCAATTCCTATAAGCCTGCATTAACCAAGCTATATGAAACAATACTTTAGTATCATCCCGAAAGGTCTGAACAAGCGCTCACCTGGGCTGGTGAATCAAGCACAAGACAGGGAGCATCTCATTTTTATCTCACTTCACATATCCATTTTGCTTCCAACTCCCTCTTTGGCCATGGAACCCCCGCTGTCACAGCTTCCCCATCCACAGAGCAGGGATAACACTTACTAGTGTCCCAGCGGTGTTGAGCAGGTTAATGAGCATTCAATGCTACGAAGGCAACACACACCACACAAGTGACTAAGTTCTACCTGTAGCTTTGGTTCTAGTACCTGCAACAAAGTGGGACAGCTTATCATTGATGTACATCAGACAATAGGCACTGGCATTCCTCAGGCCTCCATATGAATCTCTCTCCAGTTCTTCCCAGGATGATTCTGTCACAGAGATGTCATTGTATTTGAGCCAGCTCTTCCGGGGCTGGTCGTATATGTAGGCCCAGTAGTGACCGGCATTTGCTTGGCCCTCATGAACCAGGACAGCATGCAAGCGATAAGGAACCTGAAAATTCACATGGACATGATTTCTGGGCTTATCTTGAATGGATGAAGTAATCGAAAATCTATGAAGACATTCACAGCTGTCACATGCTTAAAAATTGTCCATTCGTTCATTCGACTGCCTGATGTAAACAGATTCCCTTCCCCTTGATGAGCTCAGCTTAAAAACACTTCTATCCACTACCAGTGTGACCATGAAATCCTAAGCCTGACCACCCCACTGGTATCCAAACCTGTCAAACTAATTTCATGTTTCATGTGTGGCAGTCACCATATCTCATCTAAACTATTTAATGAGTTTCTTACTACTGAGGTTCTTTCTAAAATGTTTGCCAGAGACCCATGATGTGCCAGACACAAGTTCTTCTGGTTCCTATTGCTGGGGTGAAAGATAATTGGAACTTGGAGCCAAGCCCCCTTGCATTCAAATCTGTAACAAAAATTCTCAAGCAATCAGCCTGGCTGCCTTTAACAGAGCCTTGTGCCTGGCACACACAAAGTGTTTTCAGGACTAAGATTGGAGAAGCATCCCACAAGTGTTGTATAAATTTTTAAAAATGCACTTACTACAGTGGCTTTGATTCTCTGAATACACCCGTGTAATTCCAAACTATACGATTACCTGCACTGCTATGTGGTGACAGAACCTATTGCAAAGTACACTACCCGAAGACCCCCTTCTCACACCAGAGAGTATAGAATAGTTCAGGTTGATAACCAAAACCCATCCAAAAATAAAGCCCTCTCTGCAGAGTCTACTCAGGACAGGAGTTCCCCTGGTCCTTCCTGCCCAAAGTATCTGAGTGACATGGATCAGAGGATACTTCATCACTCTCAGATCTTGGGAATCTGACAAGTCTGAGGACACCTATCAATCCTCCTTGAACACTCAGGTTCCAATAAATGATCTAAGCATCTTATATCTAAAGCCTTATTATCTCTGGTCTTATAGGCTGTAAGGTAGTCATCTGCACTAGGGAATAACTGGAACCAGATTCAGAGGACAGGTGTGTAATTTTCAGATGCCTGTTCAACCTATGCTTCCTGTTCTTTGATACAGAAACAAATGAATCCAAGAGGAGCCTGGGACTCTCAGTAACTGGCTGTTCTACTCGCAGGTAAAGATTCAGAGACCTCATGCCGTGGTGGATGCAAGAAGTTCTTCTGCAGATAGGCTCAGACTCAGAACCACATGACTGGCTCTTTCTCCAATGGATCAGAGACTTCTCAGGCAAAGACCTAGAAGGCCCTCTTGGTCTGACAAAGTCCCCGCCGGCTTATGTGGGCCCAAGATCCAGGCGCATTTCTAGGCCAGTTCTTGCTGGAAAGCCTTTATTATTTGTTTGCAGTATTTACAGGCATTGCAGTTCCTGGCTGGTGGGCAGATGGAGCAATTGCCTATCTAAGATGTCATACATTGCAAGGCATCCACAGTGAAGGTGACTTGATAGAAATATTAGGTCAAGAACAGAAGTAATGAAATCTGAACACTTTCCCCAGGCACAGAAAATGTAATTGTGAGAAAAAGTCCAAACACAAAACGAGAAAAAGCTAATGACAATCCCCTTTTTAAAACTCTAATCCTAATACAGGGAGAGAACTAGGTTCTGCATCCACTGAGGCTGAAAAGCACAGAAATGAGACAGTTGGCAGTGGAGGAGTTTCTGGACTCTTGGTTCTAGAAAACTGGAAGAGAGCTCATTCCCACACTACCTCTTGCCCCATCCCCAACAGCTTTGAAACAGGTCCAGTCACCGAATGGCAGGGCAAGAGATCTCGCATCAGGGATCTACCAAGGCAACGTCATGTAGGTAGGTAGAACTACAAAGTGTCGAATCAGCAGAGAGAAGAATTCTGAGCCCTAAGCCAGGCCATCTTGCACCGAGAAATCAGCTATCTATAACCAAGAACACACAAAGGGGCTGACCTGTTACATACTAAAGGGAAAGGGCAGCAAAATAAAGGCTAGAGTTTACCTCAGATTTCATCAAGAAAGCTAGGGGGGAAAACACACTATTTCTTGAAAATCCTTAAATTTTTTAAAACAAAATTTTCCCGGGGAATTTTTGAAATATGCTAAAGCAGAAAAAGTAAACTGACCACCAACAACTTGGATTTCACATTATACAATGGGCATTGTTCAACTGGTAAACATAGTAGAGCATGACTACCCTGCAGTGACATAGGGAGTTCATCCTTCAGGGTCTTTGACTAATCCAGATATTTATGACTCTACAAAATTCATCTTAGCATGTGCAGGTGCCCAAGTGCTAATGGGAGAAACTGACAGTGACAAGTGTTTATCTAAGATTATATTAAATGCATTATGTTCAGTTTGTTTTTAGGTTCATGGATCCTATTAGTCACCTACTAAGAACACCATTTTAAGTAAGTTATTTCCCTCCTCAGAAAGGCATGTGTTTCGTTTCAAAGCGAACTTGGCAAAACATTTAGACACCCACCCCTTCCTACGTACATGCGTGCAACTTCCCTAATATTAATGTGACCTATAGGCACACACCAGCAGCACTATATCATTTTTATGAGCCCCTCTATGAAAACCTAACAAAGCCACACTTCCTACCTGACAGAGGACAGGGTCACCATACATTTGACCAATGGATTGGTTGATTCTGGTAATACAGTCCTTCAGATCTATTGAGAACAACAACACAGATCATCAGCTTTGTTTAGATAGTGCCCCCTTCACTCCAAACACATGGGAGTACAGAGGTAATCAGAACATAGGCCCTTGCCTGCCCTCGGATACAATCATGCAGTTACTACCACAGAAGTTAATAGAAAGTTGTGCATGCTTATCTTATGATAGACCAGGGCCCTGTATATATACTGGACATCACATTACATTTAAGGATTATTGCTACACTCACTGCTGAAAAGCAGCCACCTCTGGGGTGGAGCATGGTTCAGGAGTTAGACAGTTGAAGCTGCCAGAGGGAATTTAGGTTAGCAAAAGGCTGAAATGCACGATAAATACTTGAGGCCAACCTTGGATGTCCTGCTCAATCTCGCTCCTCCATCGCTGCAGGCACGTCCTAACTAGGCTCATCTCCTCCTCAGTGACCACACGAGGAGCTGGGCATTCAGGCATTTCTGCTGGTAAACAGGAGGGCTGGGACGGAGGGTTTATCAGAGTGGATGCTGCACCTTCAGTGTTCTCAGTACTTTCTGTTTCTAATACACTATGAAGCAAAAGCCACATATTGATGGACACATTATTCAGGCTGCTGTTTCCAGAGAGCATACTCAAGTTCACAATGCTTTAAAAAAATATTCAAGATCTGAACAAGCAAGTTTCCATCCCAGATGATGCCAGGCTTACACGTATTCACTAGTCAGGGAACAGTTTGGTAGTGCAGTCACTTCCGAGAGGACCAGAACCCAGGACAAGAGGTGATGTAAAAGCGCGAGTTCTTACAGGACTCCACAGTGAAGCATAGAGCCACAATCCACAGCACTGACAATTCCTTCCCATTTTACCAGAGAACGCATTTACTTGCTTGCTTAAATTCAGAGCGCAAGCCAACCATGGTGGGTGGATTTGTGATACTTCAGTATTGCATTATTTTAATGGTTGATGAAACAAAACAAAAGATTACTACACTGTGCAAAGAGTTCACATAATTTATCTCAAGATTACTGCTTAAACATAGCAGTTTGACTTTGTTTCTGGAGAGGAAAAAAGCACAAACTGGATGCCGTGTTATCTGCACAGATTGGTAGCACCCATCTGGGAGCAGGATACTCAAAAGCAGGGACTGTCTGTGTTGGTGTTCATACCACACATCCCCAAGGTCCCAAGTGCCTAGACAACTGAACCATACGACAACAGCTCCTGGAGCAATGATCCAGGACTCTTTAGCTCAAAAGGTCAAAGCTCTTTCCTTAGCCAACAAACTTTTTTCTTTCCTCACCTATTTTGCTGCAGAGGTTCATTCAGACCACAGCTCTCAGCTGGGGACTGTGCAGGAGTCATCTGAGAGTCCTGAGCAGAGGGAACAACTAAAGGTAGCTTTGTACTGGCAAATTCAAGAACATACTGTAGCATGTCAGGTAATGGGAAGCGGCTTGGGCCAGAGCCATATTTCATGTATCTAAAGAACAGAAGCAAGACAGCAGAGGTCTGTTAACTGAATCCTCACACAACTCATTTTACACGGAGAGGAAAATAGTATGCGCAAGCCATATTTATTATAAAATATAAATGCCTAGTGGCTGCTGGTTATACTAATAACTAACTGTTGTGTTACTTAAATTAAGCTCTTGAACACAAATAGCTCTTATTCAATTTCATGCCTTGTTTAAAGAGAAAAACACCAACTTGAGGGGGAGGGAGTTGGCTGCTTACCTTTCCAATTTCTGCTGAAGTACTGCTATTTGCTTCCTCAACTTCCTCGTCTCCTCTCTCTTCTTTTGAATAATCTCTTTACTGCTGTACAAATACCTAAACAAATAGCGCGCCCCCCCAAAAAAAGTGACTGAGTGAGATTTGTATACCTCTAAGCTCTGCACTGTCTCTCATATGCATAAATTTTAACATTTCCCTGCCCACAGACCCACCCACCCCTCTATTTCTCTAGTTAGAATAAAACAGAGCAAAGTGTGAGGAATCAGTTTTGAAATACAACAGCCTTGTAAAATCTCACCTGTCCATATAAATAATCTGGGGAAATTCTAGCTTGTTGTGAATCTTCTCTGGCTGCCCTAGTGACTGATTGAACTCGAACCGGGAGAGTTCAAAGGTTAACACCGGAGGGAGCTTTGTAAACCAACGCTGTAACAAACAGAAATGCCCCAATGAGGGCACAGGTTTTGAGAGGATGGCTGAATGGCACATTTTATATCAACAAGTAATTCTGCCCCCCCAATAACTTTCTTCCCTTATACATACAAAGTGTGAACTAAATCAACATGAGTTGCTATTTAGAAAGCCTAATTTTACAAAATATAAGACTTCCACTTCCATTTTAGACCTTCACCAGACAAAACATAGTTAAATAATATCCAGAAAGTCAATATTTGATGCCCAGAGCACTCAGATTGATAGACTTCCATCTAGTCAAGGAGCAAATTTAGAATAAGTTGGCAAATGCTACACTGAAACCATGTCTGTAGGCCCACTGAGAGGGAGAGTTACTTCACATTGCTGCTGGCACACAAAGAACATCAACAAATAGCAGCCCTTAACCAATCTCTGTGCACTCAACTACTCTCTTGGTCTATTCAGAAACTCTTTAGCTTAAGAGGCACAGACAACAGATCACCTTCTCAGTATTTGGAGTGTTGCTCTAAATGCTACATTGAAAAGGTTATTCGCAGTTGCATTTATACTTTCCCTGGCTCCCAGCTTTCAAGACTATTTCTAACATCCACTGCCAGAAGAATATTTCATGCATTCTAACGCAGTGCCAGACAGACAGTACCCTCCCCCTTGTGGGCTCCTGATAGTACACTAAGATAATACTGCTCTGAAAGATCCATATCAGAAAGCCAGAACACAACGGTTCATCCGCAGAATCAAAATGCACCAATAATATTGTCAGTGAGGGTCAATATTAATGTAGACAGAGGGAAGCTGCCATTTATCATGACCCTTTTGAGAAAAGTCAACCAAACATCCTCATAACCAACAACAGCAGGGACATGTTTATACACCTGCTATCAAGGTAAAGACACAGATTTCTAGTTAATCCTGCTGCATATCAGGCTTCAAAACACTCACCTAAGGTCTCAAAAGATAAAATGCACTTTATTTTCCACATCCCCTATCATGAAGTCCTCTAGTCACGATATCCTGGGAAGTTAAATTAATGAGCACAGATTTTCCAATCACATCTCCTAAAATTAAAAGTGACAGTCCTTGGCTTATTTCCTTGTTTGAGACACTTTCCCCTGCTTTTTAGTTAACCATTTAAAGGAACTAAAAGCCATGGACCTCTCCTATCACCTGTTGAACTCCATCTTGCTCACACTGTCTAAGATTTTGCACAACACCAATCCTACCAGAAGTCTGCTTCGACTGTGTCTGTGTGCTCTAACACAGGAGCAGCAATCACCAAAATCAGGCAGTTGATTCCAAAGTTAGATGGGCCTTAAAACAAGCTCATCCTGAAGTCAAACCTCTTTTTTAATTCAAGTCACTGCAACTCATCTTTCAGGCACTCACCTAATGAGTGAAACTTTTCCTCCTCCCCCTTTTACCACCAACCCTTGCAAACATCTCTTTAGTGTTATCTTCCAGCACCTTTTTAACATGGCCTACAGGCTAATTTCCCTCAGTCTGCCTTCACATCACATGAATCCTTCCATCATTTTAGTTGACCTTCTCTGTCGTCTAATTTTCCCATTGCTTTTATCTATAAAGTGAGGCTGAATGCAATGTGTGTATCTTAACCTTTTACTTTGTCACAAAGTTAAGCAGTTTATGATTGGCTCATGATTTGAGTAATTAAAAAAAGGAAAAAAATAATCAGCACAGGCAGAAGGTTAAGAGTTACAACGAGAGAGAAAAATGAACACTATAACAGGGAGAAAAAAATACAAATTCCAAATGGCATACCATAGAGTTAAGCACTGTACTTTTACCCTCCGAAAATATGGAGGCAGTGGTTCTCCCCTACTCAGGTACAGGTAGGCTTCAATAGAAAGAGAGAGACTTTATCACACTTACACATCAGAAGCAGGCGCCTTTTTAAAAGGGTAAACTCCTGGAGTAAGTTACATTGGACAACAAGGTCTTTACAAATAAACTAGGGCTTGGTGGCTTAGATATCAACTCACATTTAACATTAATGTACATTTAACAGACTGACCACGAAATGTTTTACATTTGGTGAAGAGGGAATTTTTACAGTCACCATTTTAAGTTACCAGGATACAATAGGACCTCCGTCCACTACATTGACTGCAGCCTTTGAAGAAGAGCAAATAATACATGCAACCAACCTCTTGTCCATACTTCACTGATTGATCAGAAGGTAGTGGCTCAATCTCCCCTTCTACCATGGCCCCTTCCAAACATTCGTTTAAGTTCCGATAACCGTTTACCTGAAGGGGATACTGGCCAAAGGTCTCTATCTTAGAAAAGGTCTTGCCTGAATAAAGGGGAAGGAAAAAAAATATAAACCACCTTAAAACAACAACAAAAACTCTCTGCTCTCTAACTTATTTTAGTATATACAACTATATGTTTCCTACCAAAACAACAGCTTGTAACACTCCACGGGATCTTGCAACAAATCACCCAAGATCTTTCATCGGGCAGGCAGGTTAGACACATCATCAAAGTAGAGAAATTAGGCCCCTTTGGCTCATCTTCTCTAGAGGTGAGACCCTTTACAAATCTATGCTCATGACAGTGAGTATTTAATAGAGGATACTACCCTTTGGAGAACAGACTTTACATTATATTCACCGGCACTAGGACAACTATATAAAGATAATCTAATCTGTATGCCTATTGTAATAGTGAAGAACCAGACAGACAATCTCACCAAGAAACTGCAACAACACACAATGTCACAAATCATATCATAGATCTACACTACAACAACAATCAAACCACTCAGAAAAAGAGTTAAATGTAAAACCAAAAATCTCTAACTTACCCTCATGGACCCCTTCAGTCAAGAAAGTCCCATAGAAGAGTTGCACCATTGGGTTTTCTGATTTGTCTTGAGGGCTGCTGTTTTCAAAAGGAGAGTGTACGCATTTTGTTAGACAGAAAGGGAGCATATGGGTGAGTTACACTTGCCTTCACAAGAATACATATATATTAGAATTTTTATTTTGATGGCATCAACAAAATATAACCAACATTAATATAACTGGAGGAAAAGGCAGCAAACATGGCCCCAAACCCAAGCTATGAGGGAATAGGTAGTTCCTCAATTAATAAATATTACATATGCTGCCCTTTTTTTTTATTTAAAGGCCACAAGGTATTAAAATGGACTTAAATTTAACAGCTAAACCTCAGCCTTGGGCTTTGTGCCTAAAAACAAACAAACCAAAAGAAGAGAAAGCCATCAATTTGTAGTAATACTTATAATTATACTCTACATTTTGAAAGTGCCTTTAGAAGGATCCCAAGATGCTTTTGTAAATATCATCATCCCATTTATGTTGATAGGTAACACAGAGGTGGGAGTGACTTGCCTAGATCAGGTTACAGAGTAAGCCAGTGTCAGAATCAAGATTGCAACCCAGGAGTCCTGGACACTTGACCTCTATTCTAACCCATAATTGCTGGTTCTGGATAAGTTTGCACTCAGAACTCAAGTTATGCACTTTAAACAAACCAGTTTATCCGTACAGGCAAAAAAATTACTCTTCTGCACTTAAGAAAATCATCAACAGTTATTTAAGTGTAAAAAGCAGAGGCTTTTCATACAGCGTGACCCCCTACATGTCAAGACCTTTTATTATAATTGTAACTATCTCACTACAGATTAATGCACTATTCAATATGAATTTAGCCCACTGGCTGTAACAACTCTAAACAATACAATATAGAGTTTATTACCTGGTGAATAATCCATGTTGAAGAGTTCCATAAAAACGTATGTACTCTGTAGGTCACAATCGCATTGAATAAAAGCACCTATCTAGGCAAGAAATGCTGATGCAAACGCAGAATGCTGAATATTATTGAAAAGGGATTCTCCTGACTGGTGCAGTGAAGAAATGGTTTCTTGGTTTGCCTAAAATATTAATTTAAACTCTAGCATCTATTAGCCAAACAGTCTAATTAAAAATCTATTTTTCTGGCCAGTAAGTAAAAACAACCCAAACGATAACAACTCACTTTACATTCACAGACAGCTGGAATGCATCCTCTAGCCAATCCAGAAGCTTGTGTGTGACTTCGCTCACATCTTGCTAAAAGAGAGCCAGAAATTGGAGAGTGAAAGATTTGACCAAGAAAAGGCTTTGATAGAAGCAGGTTTTATTAAAATCTCACACTTGTTCAAATATACTCACAAAACTATTGTGGTATCTCTAACCATGTGAATGAGCTATACAAACTAGGTGTTATTACCACTATTCTAGGTCAAAGATGAACACTTTATCCAGCACTGCACTAAGTCAGAGGAAACTATGCTGGGGACATGGAGAAGAAATCAAGTTCCAAATCCAGTGGTCCCCCACAGCAACTCCGATAGCAGTGAAGGGACAAATTTCACATTGGCTATTTAACTGTCTTTTTGGTATGCATGTGCCTTTCACTGTCATGGATCTTTAAGAGGGGGTTTTACACACACTTGTCAGGTGAAACACAGACAGGCAAGCGTTTGGAATTATAGTAGCAGGGCATTAAGTGAAACATGACTGTTTATATCTTTATTAGGGCTGTTCTGGAGAAAGCCAAGAGGCATTGTATCCATTTTACCTGCTGTTCGTCAGCTGATTTAAATGCGCCTTTTAAAAGTTCCAGTGATGCAGTGGGGTCTACAAATTTACGATGTGTCCCCAGCATTAAAGCAAAGAGACACTGAAGTTCCTGCATGAATGCAATATTTCTCTTTTCCTAGAAAAGAAGAGAGCACAATAGTCTACTGCTCAATAAAAGTAGGACACATATATGAAGAGGTAAATTAACAGGGCCAGCACAAGGAACGTTAATATAATGGACAGTCTCATAAGAGACCAACTTGTGTTAGGAACCCATATCTCCTTCGCCATGATGCAAGGATCTTTCTTGAAAGCAGATCTGATCACGAGTCAAGTACATGGGAGAACTGAAGGATTTGCAATGGTTCCTCAAAGTGTGAAATCTGGGCTCAGGAGAGGTGCCAGAAGTAATATGGCATCTAGAATAAGAAGGCCAAGCTGTACTCTAATATTCTGAAGTTCAGACTTTCGCTAGAGACTTGGGGTTTTAAGGGGAGGTATGGGGGAGACTGAGAGAAAACAAGTCCTGAATTTCTGGAGTCACTAAAACAGATTAACAAGGCACAGATTTTCCACTCTCTCTCTGCAGTTCCTAGTTTTTGAGAAAAGTTATAGGAGAAACTTTCAACCATTTCTGTAATAACTGATTATCCTCAAGAGCAATTTCCCACCCTTGTCTACAAGCAGCAAGTCAGTTATTATAGTCACCAATACAAACGGCCAGAATCCCTGGAAGAGCCAGGCGTTTCCGGAGAACTTACACTGCGACTTCGACAATTCTCAAGCATGCTTTGCGGGAGAGAATAACTAAGGACCAGCCTACGAAATTCCGGCAGCTGGAAGAGAGACTGAAAGGAAAAAAGGGTTAAGAGAGAGTGTCTGGGCTGGTCAACTCAAGTCTGGACTTTGGTCTCATCTTCATTTGCTAAGCCCATCTCATTCTTTGCAGACTGTATGTTTTTCTTACTCACCCCCAACTTCTTCAGTGACTTTCTCCTTAAGAAGTAAAACCTTTAACAGCTCTGGGTGTCATAAGGAGGAGGGAGAAAACTTGTTCACCTTAGTCTCTAAGGATAGAACAAGAAGCAATGGGTTTAAACTGCAGCAAGGGAGGTTTAGGTTGGACATTAGGAAAAAGTTCCTCACTGTCAGGGTGGTTAAACACTGAAATAAATTGCCTAGGGAGGTTGTGGAATCTCCATCTCTGGAGATATTTAAGAGTAGGTTAGATAAATGTCTATCAGGGATGGTCTAGACAGTATTTGGTCCTGCCATGAGGGCAGGGGACTGGACTTGATGACCTCTCGAGGTCCCTTCCAGTCCTAGAATCTATGAATCTGGCCTTCCCCTTCCCCAAGACTCAATTCCCTCCATCCCTCCCAACTAAATTTTTTAAGTAAATTAAGAGAAACCTTTTGGGAAAGAGTGAGGAGAGTTCTTCCCACCCCCAATACTTATCTGCTGATGTAAAAAGAGCCCGAAGAATTAAGTGTGTTTGGTTCTTCTTTCTGCTGTCTCTTCTCATTTTACTAATCACTAATAATAATCGCTAATAATGCACCCAGTCTAGTTTCTTATTAGTTCAGGCATCTAACTCCATTAACTGTACTCCATTAACTTGAATCTGATACACCATATGCTGTGGAGCCAGTGTTCACTCCAGTAAAATTACATTATCATCACTTTACCAGTCTGGTTTCTGTCATTCAAGAAGTATTTTACCATTGCACCATGACACAGAACACACATTTGTAAATAATAATAAATACATGGATATATTTATATAGCCTTTTTTCTGTATCTCATTTTTGCTCTGATCACTTGGCTGCTGGTTTTGAACAGGATCAGAGTAAAATATGCTGCCGCAAAAAGAAACTCACACTTTAGATCATTTTTGTTTAAAATGTGAAGTAGAAACCGGGTGGGCCTGCACAATCTGCTCTCAAATCTTAGTTCTGTAATGGAAGTCTCCCAAAAAACTACATCCCAGGGTGAAGACATCCAGTTTTTCTTTTTATATTAATGTGAAGTTACTGATAGGAATATGGAGAAATACAGAATAGCTCGCTGGCTCACTGTGACCTTGGGAAAGTCAACTAACCTCTCTGTGCCAACGTTTGCCCACCTGCAAAAAGAGGAGATTACTTCCATCATGGAGGTGCTGCAAAGCTTATTTAATTGCATGAAATGCATGTTTTGACCCCAAGATGGCAGGATTACAAAAGGGTAAAGTATTACTGCTACCACTGCATTACCTGAATGACTGCACTAAACCAGCATGTATTTCCAATGTTCTTCATGCCAACAGGCCAGTCATCCACTCTCCTCCAGTCATTCTGCTTGGGATTCTCTCCCCAGACTTCACACCGTTTCCTTTTGGAGCGATTTTTGTTTTCAGCAGCATTTGCTTTGTGAGCCCTGGCAGAGGACAAGTATGCAAACATGACATTGTAAGAAAGCATCACACGAGAGTCTTGACAGCCTTTTAAAAGGGACAAAAACTCATTTTGGTATGTAAGCTTGGCTAGTCAAGTAACCACAACAGAACAAGACAAAAGGAATTGGACACTACTGCAGTCCCAAACAGGAGACATACATGAAGCTGGCTCACAGACTGGCATACAGTGCCTGTCATCTCTAGGATTATTATGTTATTATCTATTATATTACAGATCAGGGCCCCATTGTGCTGGGCATTGTGCTGATAGATACTCATAGCCATCCCACCTGCCTCACAGAGCTTCCATTCTTAAAGATGAGAGGTAGGTGGTGAATCAAATAGGGTTGGAGGGGCTGTGGGGTGGAATGGGTAACAATACTACAAGCATTTCTTTTTTTATAGACCTACATGTGAGATTTGTAGACAGAGCATATTCTGTTTGTTAGTTAATGGAGATAAACTCAACAAATGCAACCCAGTTAAAAAGGGACAAAGTGAATGGCTGTTAGTAACCTATGTAAAATGAAATTGAGGCAGGAGGCCTCAGTACAGTTCTTAATGGATAGGTGCCACAAAAGCCTCTACGTTGGTCACATCAGTAGAGGTGACAGGGACAGGACTGGCCATGAAGATAACGAGCCTTCAGTGTGGTATGCAGTCTCTCCAAGTCAGACACAAAGGAACTTGGAGACAGTCCCCAGAGGGTGATAGTCCACGCACCTTCCAACATCACTAAGCCCTCTTAAGTTGAATGAATAACATTTGTTTTACAGATGATAAGAACACACTCTGCATAAAGCCCCAGGGTGCATGTAGAAGTAAAGAACAAAAAACAACAACATTCATTGACCTGTTAGCATCTCTTTCCACTGCTTGAACTTCCAGAGACTCCAGGAAGCTGAGAGCAATAACTGCCTGGAGGTCATCTTTGTTATCAGGAGTTAGATCAATCACATCTGGAAATTGAAGTGAAGTTATCAGTTTTGCACTAGAAGCAGTGAAACATTTAAAAAAAAAAAAAAGGCCAAGGACCAAACAATGTTAACACAATTTTGCTACATTCATGCAATTAAATCAAACTGCAGAAATATCACAACTTTCTGCTGAAAAATTAAATTAACTCCATGTCCCTTTAGTTTAAAAAACAAATACTCTACAATCTACCAGGAAGCTGGGAAAAAGGTGTGCACTGCACGGTGCTATTGAAAGACCAGGATTTCCTTATACCTTGATTAGGACATGGGAAGCGGATAAGAAGCCGTTTGGACTGGTCTAACAAAAGGAAACAAAGTGAAAGCCTTAATTAAAGTTCTTAGTACCACAGAGTCACAGATTCCAAGGCCAGAAGGGTCTATTGCGGTGATCTAGTCAGATTCTCTTGTAAGCCACAGGACTTTCCCCCTCAAATAAATCCTAAATCATATATTTTTAAAAATAGTCAATCTTGATTTAAAAATTGTTAATGTTGGAGAATCCACCACAATCCTTGGTAATAGTTCCAATGGTTAATGATCATCACTAGTAAAAATTTGCGTGTTATTTTCAGTCTGAATTTGTCTAGCTTCAACTTCCAGCCATTGAATCATGTTATACCTTTCTAAGATAGATTGAAGAACCTGTTATTAAATATTTGTCCCCCATGTAGGTACTTAGACTGTAATCACCCCTTAACCTTCGCTTGTTAAGGTAAACAAATTGATCTGCTTCAAGGTGTTTTCTCTTATCCTTTAATCATTCTTGTGGTTCTTCTCTGAACCCTCTCCAATTTATCAACATCCTTTTTTAACTATGGGCACCAAAACTATACGCAGTTTTCCAAAAACGGTCGCACCAGTTCAAAATACAAAGGTAAAATAACCTCTTTACTCCTACTTGAGATTCCCCTGTTAATGCATCCAAGGATTGCTTTAGCCCTATTGACCACAGCGTCACATTGGAAGTTCATGTGCAGCTGATTATCCACCACAACCCCCAACTCTTTTTTAGACTCCCTGCTTCCCAGGAAACCCCCCATTCTGTACGTATGGCCAAAAATCTTTGTTCCAAGATATATACATTTACATTTGGCTTTATAAAAACACATATTGTTTGTTTGCACTCAGTTTAACAAGCAATATAGATTGTTCTGTATTAGCAACCAGTCCTCTTCATTAATTACCACTCCCTCAGTGTTAGTTACTGAAATGGCTTTAAGAAGTAAAAGGGTTTAGTTTGTTAACATTTTGTGCAAAGACTTGGAATCAAATTCAAGTCAGACATTGTGTACCACTGGTCCCATATTGAGTCTTGTGAATGCTCAGCCAATTACAAGATCACTTTGTTTGCCACCTATTTGGGAATAAGAGAGCGAAGAAAGCAGCCGTTTTGAAACAGATGGGCCTTAAACAGCAGAATAAAATGTAATTGACTGGCCCCCCAGCTACTCCTGAGTATGGTGCTTCTTATTTTATAAACCTGCTTAGTGCAGAACAGGCAGCTCAATTAGGGAACGCATTGTTTGTGCAGCATATTTGTCTTTTACATGATTAAAGGAAATTCTTTCCAGGTACTTGTACGTTTAGATTTATATATATACATTTCTTTATATTTTAGCTTATATTTATACTTGGGTGTTTTGTTTTGTTTTCAAAGCATGTAATTGCTTTTAAAAACAATTTCCAGTTATTCAAACTCCTAGTTCCCAGTAATCTGTCTGGAAGAATGTCATGTGGCCTACTGTCTAGGACCGGTGCTCTAGCTGTCAGTAGCATTACTCAGCTGTGCAGTGACACTAAACAGATTTAGCTGCTGAGCAGCAAGAACCTGTTGAAATGGGGTGAAGTGAGCCCTCCCAGAAGTTAAAAATACTTATTTGATCTGTTGATATGTGAAGCATGGCTCCCTGCCCCCGCCAGATACTATCTTTCCAACCATGCTTCTGGCAAAAAGCAGCTCTTGGCATTTACCTGTTTCCAGGAAAAGAGTGCAGTACGCTACCTTCTAAGGAAAACATCAGCAGTGATTTTACAGCAATTAACATCAACGACACAGCTGTGTGTGTGATAGCAATTGTTGTAATATATAATGCAGATGGGACACAGGCTATTTACCTTATGCCATCAAAGCCTGTCTCCACCAGTTGCTCCAGGTAAAATTTTCAAAATCAGCTAAAAACCCTATTGACTTGCAGTGCCCCCATGACACTTAAGTGACTCAGGCGCTTTTGAAAATATTACCCTTAGTGGCTGTGTATCTCCCGGTTGCTCTAACATCAGACACACACGCAGGTACTTAGGACAACTAGCCTGCTGGTACTTGGGGCCTTAGAGGCTGGAGTAAGCTCAAAAAAGGTAAATGTGTGAGTGAATGAAGAACTACTTCTCTAGATGAAAGAGAAACTGGCTAGCAAGGAAGTTCTCGTGACAAAAGAAGCTGGTTGTTCAGTGGGTGGGAACGATCAAAGATGGAACACAAGCTTCAAAGAGAGTGCTTAAAGACTAGGTTTAAATGCTCAAGAAAATACTAAATGAAGGAGTTTGGTTTCCCCAGGCTGCTAATGCAGTTGTAGAAAGAAGTACGTGTCTTAACAACTATCCTCAGTTCTCTATGCTATGGTGTATGAGTGCCTTAGGGCTTTTCTACACTGGCAATTAACAGCGCTGCAACTTTCTCGCTCAGGGCGGTGAAAAAACACCCCCCTGAGCGCAGCAAATTTCAGCCAGTGTAAACAGTGACCCAGTGCTGGGAGCTTCGCCCCCGTGGAGGTAGGTTTTTTAGAGCGCTGGGAGAGAGCGCCGCGACCACACAAGGCACGTTAAAGCACTGCCGCGGCAGCGCTTTAGCATTGCCGGTGTAGACTAGCCCTTAAGGTCACAAAAGGCTACCAAAGCGGGGGGAGTGATCAGAGAAGGTCATAAGCCTCCAAGAAGAGCTGATAGTTCTTAGCAGACAACTGATTTTAAAAATGAAAATCACTGCAGTTGGGCAAGTGGCATGCTGAGTATGGCTTATGGCACTATATTCCAGTCTTTAGTTATAGTTGAATACTAGAAATGGATGGAAAACATTAAGCTCCTTTTGTCTACCTGCGTTACAAGGCCCTCCCCAGTGAGTGCTTCTTAGACCCACTCCTGGCCAAAGCCCTTCAGACACTAAACTGTTCTAATCCTGTACAATAAGGCCGTCTGTATTTTTTGTGCTGACCATAATGTTCTAGTCTTCTGGTCAGGTGGCAGGACCTTACTTGGTTATTTTGTTTCCTTCTTATCCGTATGTTATCAGCAACCACTGTTTGCTAGTTCTACCATGCAACTCATGGGCATGGAAGATAGGGCGTGTTGCCAATCACTTAAGAGGTGTTTACTTGACCTGGGAAAAAATGTCAGCCAAGTGGAAGTACTCTCAGAAACACTGGGCATTCAGAGCCTGATCCCTGGAGCCTGAAGTACAAGAGAGCCACAGAATGAAAACCCAACTGAACACACAAGAGAGTACTCTTAATGAGAAATATCATCCACCTGAAAATAAACAAGAAAATAATCTTATAAATGAGAATCAGATTAAAATAATTAGGTAGTGTCAAGGTAGGGCTGACAATTACTAAGCAATCTGTTATTGCTAGAATTACACGACTGTGCCATACCCATATGTTATGTGAAAGAATATGCTGTAAAGCAATGAGCGCACAAAGAAAAAAAAATCTAAGAGTCTAGCACGTTTGTGCAAGACAAATAAACATTGTCTAACAAAGAGGTCCATAAAACTGAACCAATTTTCAGCAACATCAAATCCTGTTAAACCTACACATTCCTTAACCACTTCACTTGACTGACATTGGTTCAAAGAGCAAGGACACCCCGCATCCTGAGCAGTACCTGGCCTATGCAACAGAAAGGGTGAAACAAAAAGGTGGAGTTCTAAAATGGACTCAGTTGTTCCCTGTTGCCTTGTTACACAAATTCAAAGTGACAGTTCATCAGTTTGGTGAAAAGCGCCTAAGTGGGGCTTATATAGGGCACAAGCCTTGTGGGTAGCCCGGCAGGATGAATTTCACCGCCAGCAATTTCTTATCAGTGATAAACCCATATCACTTTCTGAGGAAGGGTGACCACGAATGCACACAATATTCCAGATAAGAATGAACCACCTACTGGTGGGTTGCTCTTTGCCCACAGCACTCCCTTCACAGTCAGATGGTTCCACAGCGACTGCTTCCTGGCCTGGCTCTTTAACACACTCCTCAGTGAGGAAGTTGACTGCATCTGTTAGGTCACCATTTGCGGCCTGAGAGGAAAAAAAAGGGGGGGGGGAATAGCCAAGTACCCATTATTCCAGATTCTTTTATATACATCTGAATGAAAATCAACACCATCCACATGAAAGAGAACATGCTGGTACCAGGTCAGCTTTCTCCAGCCATGCGGAAAAGCTGACTGCCAAGGAGTTAAAATTTTAAAGCTGAAAAATTTCTCAGATGATAAATAATTAGCGTTCATTCTACACCTTAAGTGTCGTTCAGTCAACTCTGGTTTCCTTAAAAGAGATTAGAGCATTCACAGGCTCTAATATCAGCAAGGTACTTAAGCACATACTTAACTTTAAGCATCTGAGTATCCCACTGAAATGAGACTACTCATGTGCTTAAAGTTAGGCACGTGCCTAAGCATTTTACTCAACTGGGGCCTTATTAATGGGTAGAAATTTATTAGAGCATAAGCTTTCGTGGGCTACAGCCCACTTCTTCAGATGCATATAGCTCTAAGGTGCCACAAGTACTCCCGTTCTTTTTGCGGATACAGACTAACACGGCTGCTACTCTGAAACCTGTCATTAATGGGTAGGAGCACTGTGTCCTCAAAAAGTCATGAGTGTGGCCCTCTGCATTGCTTTATAATTGTAGGAATGTGTAAAGGAACTACAGGAACCATATGTTAAACACAGAGCATACAGCCCATATCACAAGAGAAAGAACTTAAAATAACATGGGTAGACAGACCTATTTAGTTTTAGGGAACAAAGCAATGTTAAAATTTACAAACAAAAAGCTTTTTCCCTCCCAAAACTCTATAATCAATTAATTCACATTACAACAACTCCCACTTGAAGAAACATTGAAGGGGATTTTTTGTTTGTTATTTGTTAGTTTCCTTCTTTTTTTAAAAAAGTCTCCTCATGCAGTCAGCAGCAACAGCCACCTCCTGGCTGACAGACCTCAAGAGAACAGACTCCAGTGGTCCCAGACTAGATAATATTAGCGCTGTATTACCCTTCAGTCCCTCCCTGTTTTCTGCTGCAATTTATAATGCACACTATGATTTATAGTAGGGATCTTTCCAGGAAAGTGTTTCTTCTTCTACTCAGAACCTCTCATGTGCCTCTTTATAGCATATGCTGTTCTGCTCCCAGTTCTGGCAAAACGACCACAAGTCTGAAAGCACAAACCACAAGTCTGTGGTGGTTGTTTCAGCTGTGGAGAATTGTGAAGACTGTTTAGCTGAAGTAAAACTTATTTTACCCCACATTTTTATTTATTGTTATGCTTCAGTACATACATGAAAAAGCCCACTTGAGCCAAACCTCAATGTTTCCCGGAAATGATTACAGCATCTCAGCATAATACTTGTTGTAGTTGCAGAACAGGTTCTTAAAGCCTACTGCTGGAAAAGTATGGGCACTGCTCCTGTTATAGTTTGATTCAAAATTTAGAAGAATGGATATTAATCCAAAGAAGAGTTACTTCCTTCCAGCCATAACATCATATGCGGCACTCATGTATCCACCCACACAGGCCTCTCATGTCTTTAAAATAACAGAAGTTAGACAGGGAATAACTTAATAGGTGACTTGGTCCATTCTCCTGTGTGGACAGAATCAGGGCCGGCTCCAGGCACCAGCTGAGCAAGCTGGTGCTTGGGGCGGCAGATTGTTGGAGGCGGCATTCCGCCCAATCCTAGGGCAGCACGGCCACATTTTTTTGTTGTTTTGTTTTTGTTCTTGTTCCGCTCCTGCCGCCCTGTAGGGGACAGCAGCGCAGAGAACCAGAGCGCCCTGCAGGGCAGTCCTCTTCCTTCCCTCCCCGCCGACC